GGCTGATGGCTCAGAGCCTGGAGCCTGTTTCTGATTCTGTGTCTCCCTCTCTCTCTGCCCCTCCCCCGTTCATGCTCTGTCTCTCTCTGTCCCAAAAATAAATAAACGTTGAAAAAAAAAAATTAAAAAAAAAAAAAAAAAACCCATGAGTGTGAGATCATGACCTGAGTCGAAGTCAGGTGCTCAACCGACTGAGCCACCCAGGCGCCCCAGACAGTAGCTTTTTAATGTAACAATTTCAGCCATGACCGTAGACTAGAACATACCTCTAGTTTTGGTGTTTGAGTCACTAATGCCATTAGAGTTCAGTAAGTAATTTGTTACAATTTTAAATATTTTTAAAGTCTTGACAAATTAAAAATATATAATCTGTCTTATTAAACTAAGGTTGTAATGGTGAAAAGATGTGGTCCTTGCTGCAGTAGCTTTGAGTCTAATAGAAGAAAGGCAAGTCCTCATAAAAAGTGATGGTGACCAGAGACATGGCTGAGAATGGGTGTGAGGAGGAGTGTGTGGATGGTTAGGCCTTGGTCCCAGTGGATGTGGCAGAGGAAGAAGGGAGTATAGAAGACATCTGGTTCTTGGCTTAGGTAGTTTGATGCTGTGAGTTAGGGACCATAGCGGGAGCCAAGGGGTCAGTGTTGGTCATGTATCTGCAGTGCCAGGGTGTGGACAGAGGGCATGTCCAGGAAGTAACTGGCTTTGTGGCCTGGAATCAGAGACCCCAGTGAGAGATGCAGAGTCACATGACTGAGGGTCACGTAGCAATAGCATAGAGATGAGGACAGTGTGTGCCTGGGATGGGAAGTCAGGAATGTGGGCACCTGTGAGGAAAAACGAGTATCCAGAAGAACGAGGCAGGTAGCTGTGTGGAGAGCATCAAGACTAGTTAAGTGAAAGAGGCAAGATACAGAACATGTCCCTTGATGTGACTCTGGAGGTGCCTTCCTCTGAAAAATGGAATTGGGGGCCTAAGAAGCAAGGGGAGTGAGTATCTTGTGAATTTTGTACCATGTTTGAGTATGACCTATTACAAAAATAAGTGTTTAAGGACAAGGCAAGGAAAGAGAAGTCTGAGGAAAATTAGTGGTCAGTGGTGTCAAATGATGAATAGGGGTCAAATGACATAAAGACAAAAGTTGCTATTGGCTTTAACAACAAAAAGCTTCAGCTGTCCTTGGAGGTGTGTGTGGGGCAAGAGGAAGAGAATTGAGATTGTTGCAGGTTAATACTTTTAGCCCCAAATGTCACTGACTGGTTGTGTGTTTGGGAGAGGGAGGTTTGGGAGGGGCATAATTTGAAGTTTCCTATTTCTCTTATACAAAACATTCCAAATTTAATTTAAATATTGAATATTAGAGCTGGAATAAACCTCCAGAGAAAGGGGTACCCCTCCACAGATTAGCAAGACCTGCCCAGGACCTGCTTCTCTGGTCTGGCTTCCTCACCTAGCAGCTGTATGACCTTGGGCAAGTTACCTACCTCCTTTGTGCCTCAGTTTCATTGTCTGTGGATAATAGCTGTATATTATACATCTGTTTATGAGAATTATATATGATGAAGTGCTCAGAACAATGCCTCAGTAGTATTATTCAGTAAAAGTTAATTATTACTTTATTATTCAAGCTACCATTCTTTCCAATATATTATAGCCATGATGTCCTCCTAGAATTTTTTTCTCAAAAAAGCCTTAGCCCTTCAATCCAGTTCACTGCTTTTTATTATTATACCCATCTCTTCCTAGACCCATTGACAGGTTTGATCGAGACAGACCACTGAGAGGCCGTGGAGGCCCAAGGGGGGCCATGCGAAGCCGAGGCAGAGGCGGCCCCGGAAACAGAGCTTTTGAGGGTTTTGACCAGAGAGGGAAACGAGATTTTGAGAGGTACGGTGGGAATGAGAAAATGTAAGTTCCTCTGTAACTGCTTTTTTGCCTTATGATCTTGGTAATACACGGTATGAATCTGTTTGTTGTGTGTTAATATGAATTGACTTGATATTAGTATGTGCTTATTCCTGAGGGAGCTGATCCTGGGACGGCTTTTCTGATCAACTTTTATGATTTGGAAATTGACTGCAGGCCTGCTCTCAGCTGAAGGGAATATTCTTTCTTTCTCTAGAGCAATCAGAACTGAAGACAACATGGGTGGCTGTGGAATTCGAACTTGGGGATCAGGCAAAGATACCAGGTATGGTGCAAATGTGTGCCTTTTGTGAACCTGCAATTAAGTGGAAATATCCAGATCTTTATTTTCCTTTTGTGAAAATAATGTCTTCTCTGCTATGCTTGCATTGTCTTTATACTTGTGTGCTATTAGGTATAGATTGATTTTAGGCTTTTGTTTAGTGAGGTGACTTTTTAAAGTGGGTTTGCTATGTTGCAATTAGATTTGAAAATGACTTTTAAAGTGGTTTTAAAGTGCTTTTGTTTTAGCCAAACAAATTTGTGTATTTGCTGATGCCCCAGCGCATGATACTCTACATTTGCATAGGCCTCAGAATGCTTTTTAAATTTCTGGATATTCTATACTTTTATTTTTCTGTGACCTTCCCAAGTTCTTATATGCATTGCATCTTGATTTTATGAAATCATTTGCAGGTTGAAGCTCAATGACAAATTTCACCAAAGGTTCAAATCTGACATTTCTCTGAGGTTTCATGGTGTCTCAGATCTGTACCAGTTTTGCTGTTTAGAAGAAGTACTTGGTTCTGCTGTTTCAGTCATTTCATGGCTGTAGGGGCAGTGCCTTCCTGGTGTCTGCAAAGAATAAGCAAGAAGACTTGAGGGCAGTACAAGGCAAGGAATGGATCCCTCCCAGCGCACGTTGTAGGAAAGACTTTCCACGATTTTGAAGCCTTGAGGGAATCCAGAATATAAGCTTTTTACATAAACTTACTTTTCTTTCCTTCTTCCTTCCTTCCTTCCTTCCTTCCTTCCTTCCTTCCTTCCTTCCTCCTTTTTTTTAAACTTTATTTATTTTGAGAGAGAGAGCATGAGCAGGGAAGGGGCAGAGAGAGATGGGGAGAGAGAGAATCCAAGCAGGCTTCGCACTGTCAACACAGAGCCCAACGCAGGGCTTGAACTCACAAACCGTGAGATTATGACTTGAGCTGGAATCAAGAGTCAGATGCTTAACTGACTGAGCCACCCTGGCGCCCCCATAAACTCATTTTTCTGAAATTGTTGTCCTTAAAGACAAACATACAAAACAATACTAAATATAATATTACATGTGCTACCCTTGCACATCTGTGTTGTCCTTGAAAGGAAAAGAAACTTGTTGAATGTTTCTCAGTATGGGGTTTCATAGGCTGTTAATTATGAATCTTTTAATTTTGTTTTATTTTACTTTGATATATATTTTAAAAAGTAAATACCTCTGAGTCATCTGATTTACCACCTTATCTAATGCTGCCACTCCATTTCAGTTGGCATTGGAACTTAAAATAATTTTGGCGTCAAGTAATTATGTACCCTAAGGGGTCAGCATTGGCCTTTTAACATGAAGAAGTAACCAGGAGCTGGGTGTCCTGCCGGTGATCTGGCATTTATGTCCTTGTGCTAAAATGACACATGTCCGTGTCATTTTGGATTGGTTTGTGAGTGACTAAGTCAAAGCTCTGAGGTGGTAATAATTTGTAATTTAAAGATTCTCATAGAATAAGACTTAAATTTCTTATTTAATAAGTGGAGATTTTTATTTTGATCATGAAAACAGTTCAGTACAGTGGAGTTATGGGCTGCTTTTGATTAATGACAAAAGAGCAGAGGTGAGCTTACCGTAGCAAGGATGTTAATGGCTGGTGAAGCCAAACACTGCACGGTGTGTTAAAAGCTGGAGGGTTTTGCTATAGTTAGTATTCCTGTTTGAAGGCATTGGCAGTGCTAACTAAATTTATGAATGTTTTCAAAATGGTGCAATGAGCCATTTCCAATGTTAATGCTTCTCTTCAGCAGTTTGACAGTGAGTGCCTGAAAGTAGAGTTTTCTCCATCTGTGGTAATTACAAACATATAATATCTGATATTATTTCTTTGTTACCAATTGAAACACACACACGAAAGCAGTTTTCAGTAATGGTGCCTTCCAACTTTTATTTCAAAGAGCAAGATGGTTTTATTAACATTTGATTAAAATCTCTCCGCTGTCATAGATTTGGGTAATTCAAGTCTCATTGAACTTTTTAATTTTTTTTTTTAACGTTTATTTATTATTTTTGGGACAGAGAGAGACAGAGCATGAATGGGGGAGGGGCAGAGAGAGAGGGAGACACCGAATCGGAAACAGGCTCCAGGCTCGGAGCCATCAGCCCAGAGCCTGACGCGGGGCTCGAACTCCCGGACCGAGAGATCGTGACCTGGCTGAAGTCGGACGCTCAACCGACTGCGCCACCTAGGTGCCCCAAGTCTCATTGAATTTGAACTAGATAACAAAGCCTTCAGGTGTTCAATTCACTTTGTGGAATGTGCTTGTGCAAACAGGCATTTTCTGCATTCATATAACTAAAGTCGAAATATATACATCTGCCCTGGGGCTGTATCTTCTTCTGTAAATCTAACATTGGTGATTTACTTTCAACAAAATAACAAAATCTGCTAACATAAATTATTGCTAATTTTGAAACCTCATTGCTCTGTAGTTTTGGTCACATGGTTCTATAAGAGCCGTAAGCACATTAGTTTTATGTTTATTCATTAAATAATGTAGGTCAACACAGGGAGATGTGTGATTTCTCTTTTTTTTAATCAGCTGCTCAAGTTTAAGAATGCTGGTGTTTGTACATAGTCCCTTTTATGATTTTTAATTGTTGAAAGCTATAAACTATCAATAAACCTATGGTTTTTATTCCCTTGGTTTATTATGTTGCCAAGGGAGTAAAGAGAAAGTTGGAATAATTTGTGCTGCTGCTGCTGGATTTTGAGGCTCCTGGATGCCAGAAACTCCTGTGACCCTGCTGGAGTCAGGCTGATGAGCAGAAGCAGCCTTTGTGACAGGGCCTCCGCCAAGCACAGTGCCAGCCACGTCTTTCCACACATAGGGTGCATTTGATTTAGGACCTTTTTCAAAAATAAAGATTAATAATTAATTGGGGCGCCTGGCTGGCTCAGTCAGTAGAGCAGGTGACTGTTGATCTCAGGATTGTGAGTTCAACTCCCACATTGGATGTAGAGATTATAGAAAAAATTAACTTAAAAAAATTATTCAAATTTTGTATAGAAAAACTCACTTTTAAGCTCATTACAATAGCTTTGCATTGAGAATAAAAAAATGTAGGGGTACCTGGGTGACTCAGTCAGTTAAGCATCCAACTTCGGCTCAGGTCATGATCTTATGGTCTGTAGGTTTGAGCCCCGCGTCGGACTCAGTGCTGACAGCTCAGAGCCTGGAGCCTGCTTCGGATTCTGTGGTGTGTGTGTGTGTGTGTGTGTGTCTCTCTCTCTCCCCCTACCCCTCTCGCACTCTGTCTCTCTCTCTCCCTCAAAAGTAAGTAAACATTTTTAAAAAATGCAGAAAGTCAATTCTGTTATTACAGGTCAATTTATCTTTGCTTTTTAAAAAATAGCTTATGTTGGGGTGCCTGGGTGGCTCAGTCAATTAAGTGTCCAGCTTCAACTCAGGTCATGATCTAACAGTTTATGGGTTCGAGCCCCGCATCAGGCTCTGTGCTGACAGCCTGGAGCCTGCTTTGGATTCTGTGTCTCCCTCTCTCTCTGCTCCTCCCCCATTGACACTCTATTTTTTTGAAACTATTTTTCCCCTTCCCTTTTCCCATGGTCCTCCTTTAAGTTTCTCAAGTTCCACATGTGAGTGAAAACATATGATATTTGTCTTTCTTTAACGTTGTTACAAATGGCAGGATTTCATTCTTTCTCATTGCCAAGTAGTATCCCATTGTATATACAAACCACATCTTTGTCCATTCATCAGGTGATGGACATTTGGGCTCTTTCTGTAATGTGGCTATTGTTGAAGGTGCTGCTGTAAAGATTGGGGTACATGTGCCCCTATGAATCAGCACTCCTGTATACTTTGGATGAATTCCTAATAGCACTATTATTGGGTTGTAGGGTAGTTTGATTTTTAATTTTTTGAGGAACCTCCACACTGTTTTCCAGGGCGGCTGTACCAGTTTGCATTCCCACCAACAGTGTAAGAGGGTTCCCGTTTCTCCACATCCTCACCAACATCTGTTGTTTCCTGAATTGTTAATTTTAGCCACTCTGACTGGTGTGAGGTGGTATCTCAATGTGGTTTTGATCTCAGTGTGGTTTTGATTTGTATTTCCCTGATTTGTATATCCCTGAGTGATATTGAACATCTTTTCATGTGTCTGTTGGCCATCTTCTTTGGAAAAAATGTCTATTCATGTCTTCTGCCCATTTCTTCACTGGATTATTTGTTTTTCGGGTGTGGAGTTTGGTTAGTTCTTTATAGATTTTATATACTAGCCCTTTATTTGATATGTCATTGGCCAGTATCTTTTCCCATTCTGTCAGTTGCCTTTTAGTTTTGTTGATTGTTTCCTTTGCAGTGCAGAAGCTTTTTATCTTGATGAGGTCCCAATAGTTCATTTTTGCTTTTAATTCCTTTCCTTTGGAGACATGTCAAGCAAGGAATTGCTGCAGCTGAGGTCAAAGAGGTTGTTGCCGTGGATGGAACTGGAGAGTGTGATGCTAAGTGAAATAAGCCATACAGAGAAAGACAGATACCATATGGTTTCACTCTTATGTGGATCCTGAGAAACTTAACAGGAACCCATGGGGGAGGGGAAGGAAAAAAAAAAAAAAAGAGGTTAGAGTGGGAGAGAGCCAAAGCATAAGAGACTGTTGAGAACTGAGAACAAACTAAGGGTTGATGGGGGGTGGGAGGGAGGAGAGGGTGGGTGATGGGTATTGAGGAGGGCACCTTTTGGGATGAGCACTGGGTGTTGTATGGAAACCAATTTGACAATAAATTTCATATATAAATAAAAAAAAAAAAAAAAGGTTGTTGCCTATTTTCTCCTCTAGGGTTTTAATGGTTTCCGGTCTCACATTTAGGTCTTTCATCCATTTTGAGTTTATTTTTGTGTATGGTGTAAGTAAGTGGCCCAAGTTCATTCTTCTGAATGTTGCTGTCCAGTTCTCCCAGTACCATTTGCTAAAGAGACTGTCTTTTTTCCAGTGGGTACTCTTTTCTGTTTTGTCAAAGATTAGTTGGCCATACATTTGTAGGTCCAATTCAGGGTTCTCTATTCTATTCCATTGGTCTATGTGTCTGTTCTTGTGCCAGTACCATACTGTCTTGATGATTACAACTTTGTAGTAGAGGCTAAACTCCAGGATTGTGACGCCTTGGTTTTTTTTTTTTTTTTTTCCAACATAACTTTGGCTATTTGAGGTCTTTTGTGGTTCCATACAAATTTTAGGATTGTTTGTTCTAACTTTGAGAAGAATGCTGGTGCAATTTTGATTGAGATCGCATTGAATGTGTAGATTGCTTTGGGAAGTTTATACCTCTTAATCCCCTTTACCTATTTTGCCCATTCTCCTCCACCCCCATGCTCCTCTGGGAACTGCCAATTTGTTCTTTGTATTTGAGTCTTTTTTTTCTTCATTTGTTTTGTTATTTAGATTCCACATGTGAGTGAAATCATAGGATATTTATCTTTCTCTGTCTGACTTATTTCACTTAACATAAATACCTTTGGGTCCATCCGTGTTGTTGCGAATGGCAAGACTTTGTTCTTTTTTATGGCTGAGTAATATTCCATTGTATGTATATAATACAATTTTATCCATTCATCTGTCAATGGGCAATTAGGTTTCTTCCATACTTTGGCTATTATAAATAATGCTTCATTATAAAAGGGGTGCATATATCTTTTAAAATTCGTCTTTTCATTTGGGGCAGGGGGAATAAATACCCGGAGGTGTCATTACTGGATCGTATGGTAATTCTGTTTTGTTTGAGGAACCTCCATGCTATTTTCCATAGTGGTTGTACCAATTTACATACCCAATGGCAGTACACAAGGATTCCCTTTTCTCCACATCATCACCAACACTTGTTACTTCTTGTCTTTTTGATATTAGCTATTCTGATTGGTGTAAATGTATATATATCATTGTGGTTTTGATTTTTGCATTTCCCTGATGAGGAGTGGTGTTGAGCATCTTTTCATATGTATGTTGACCATATGTCTAGTCAAGTCCTCTGCCTATATTTTAATCGGACTCTTAGGTTTTTTGGTGTTGAGTTCTATGAATTATTTATGTATTTTGGATATTTACCCCTTTTTCGATATATCATTTTCAAAAATCTCCCATTCAACAGGTTGCCTTTTCATTTTTTTAATGGTTTCTTCCACTGTGCAAAAGCTTTTTATTTAGTTTGATGTAGTCCCAGTAGCCTATTTTTGCTTTTGTTTCCCTTGGCTGAGGAGACAGATACAGAAAAATATTGCTAAACAGATGTCTAAGAGTATACTGCCTATGATTGGGGGTTTCTTGTTGGGGTGGGGGTATTTTATGGTTTCAGTTTTTACATTTAGGTCTTTAATCCATTTTGAGTTTATTTTTGTGTATGGTGTAAGAAAGTGGTCCAGTTTCATTCTTTTGCATGTAGCTGTTTAGGTTTCCCCAACACCACTTATTGAAGAAGTTGTCTTTTCACCACTGTGTATTATTGTCTCCTTTGTCATAGATTAATTGACCATATAAGCATGGGATTAGCTCTGTGCTCTCTTCTGTTACATTGATCTATGGTCTTTATTTTTATGCCAGTCCACTACTGTTTTGTTAATAGAGCTTTGTAGTACAGTTTTAAATCTGGGATTGTAATATATTCAGCTTTATTGTTCTTTCTCAAGAGAGCTTTGGCTATTTGGGGTCTTTTGTGGTTCCATACAAATTTTAGGATTGCTTGTTTCTAGTTCTGTGAAAAATACCATTGGCATTTTGATGGGGATTGCATTGAATCTAAGATTACTTTGAGTACTGTGGACATTTTAACAATATTAATTCTTCCAACCCATGAATATAGAATATCTTCTCATTTATTTGTGTTGTCTTCAATTTCTTTTACCAATGTCCTATAGTTTTCAGAGTAGAGGTCTTTTAACTCCTTGGTTCAGTTTATTCATAGGCATGCTCTTCTCTTTAATTGTAAATGGGGTTGTTTTTGTAATGTCTCTGCTGGTTCGTTATTAATGTATAGAAATGCAACAGATTTCTGTAGATTAATTTTGTATCCTGCAATTTTACTGAAATCATTTATTAGTTCTAATAGTTTTCTGGTGAGTTATTTACTGTTTTCTATGTATAGTATCATGTCATCTGCAAATAGTGATAGTTTTACTTCTTACCTATTTAGATCCCTTTACTTCTTGTCTTTTTTTTTTTTTTTTTTGGTCTGATTGGTGTGGCTAGGACTTTCAGTACTTTGTTGAATAAAAGTGATAGAATGGACATCCTTGTTTTGTTCCTGATCTTAGAGGAAACACTTTAAGCTTTTCACCATTGAGTATGATGTTAGCTGTGAGTTTTCATATATGGCCTTTATTATATTGAGGTGTGTTCCCTCTATACCCACTTTGTTGAGAGTTTTTATCATGAATGGATGTTGAATTTTGTCAAATGCTTTTTCAGCATCTATTGAGATGATCATATCATTTTCATCCTTCATTTTGTTAATATAGTATATCACATTGATTGATTTGCAGGTATTGAATCATCCTTGCATCCCTGGAATAAGTCCAATGTGATTATGGTGAATGATCCTTTTAATGTGTTGTTGAATGCTGTTTGCTAATAATATTTTGTTAAGGAGTTTTACATGAATGTTCATCAGGGATATTGGTCTGTAATTCTTTCTGTATTGTTTTTGTTTTGAGTTTGGTGTGAGGGTAATGCTGGCCTCATAGGATTAATTTGGAAATACTTCTTCCTCTTCTAATTTTTGGGATATGAGAAGAGTATGTATTAACTCTTCTTTAAATATGTAATAGAATTTACCTGTGAAACCATCTACTCCTGGAGTTTTTTTGATTACTAACTCAATTTTGATATTAGTAATTGGCCAGTTACAGATTTTTTTTCCTGATTCAGTCTTAGAAGATTGTATGTTTCTAGGAATTTACCCATTTCTTCTAGTTGTCCAATTTTTTGGTGTATAATTTTTTGTAATAGTGTCTAATGATTCTTTGTATTTCTGTGATGTCAGTTGTAAATTCTCTTTAATTTGTGATTTTATTTGAGTCCTCTTTTTTTTTTCCTTAATGAATCTGGCTAAAAGTTTATTTAATTTGTCTTTTCAGAGAATTAGCTCTTAGTTTCGTGGATCTTTTCATTATGGCTCTATTTCATTTATTTCTTCTCTGATCGTATTTCTTTTCTTCTACTCATGTTGGGCTTTGTTCCTCTTTTTCTAGTTCCTTTAGGTGTAGGGTTAGATTGTTTGAGATTTTTCTTATTTTTTGAGGTAGGCCTGGATTACTATAAACTTCCCTTTGAGAGCTGCTTTTGCTGTGTCCCAAAGATTTTGGACCATGGTGTTTTCATTTCATTTGTGTCAAGGTATTTTTGATATCCTCTTTGATTTCTTCATTGACCCATTGGTTTTTTAGTAGCATGTCGCTTAGCATCCACATGTTTGTGTTTTTTCCAGTTTTATTCTTGTAATTGACTTCTGGCTTTATAGTGTTGTGATCAGAAAAGATTCCTGATACGATTTCAGTCTTTTAAATTTATTACGATGTGTTTTGTGGCCTACCATGTGATTTATCCTCGAGAATGTTCCATGCATACTTGAAAAGAATATGTATTCTGCTGTTTGGAGATGGTTTGTTTTATATCTGTTAAGTCCATCTGGTCTAATGTGTCTTTCAAAGCTACTGATTGATTTTCTGTCTGGATGATTTGTCCATTAATGTAAGTGGGATGTTAAAGTGTTGTACTATTATTATATCACTGTTGATTTCTCCCTTTATGTCTGTTTAATGTTGCTTTTTGTTCAGGTGCTCCTGTGGCAAGTGCAGAGATATTTACAATTGTTACATTCTCTTCTTGGATCGATCTTTTTATCGTTATGTAATCCCCTTTGTCTCTTGTTATGGTTTTTGTTTTAAAGTCTATTTTGTCTGATATAAATATTGCCACCCCAGCTTTTCTTTCTTTTTTTTTTTTTTTTTTGCTTCTATTTGCATGGTAAATGTTTTTTCCATCTCTTCACTTTGTCCGTGTGTGTCTTTAGGTGTGAGTGAGTCTCCTGTAGGCAGCATAGAGATGGGTCTTGCTTTATCCATTCAGTCACCCTGTGTCTTTTATTGGAGCATTTAATCCATTTACATTTAAAGTAATTATTGATAGGCATGTATTACTATCATTTTGTTAATCATTTTCTGGTTGTTTTTAATTTCTGTTCCTTTCTTCTTTTCTTTCTTCCCTTGTGATTTGATGACTTTCTTAATGTTATGTTTAGATTCCGTTCTCTTTATTTTTTGTGTCTGTTGTAGGCTTTTGGTTTGTGGGTACTGTGAGGTTCATATATAACATCCTGTGTATTTAGCAGTCTGTGTTAAATTGATGGTCACTGAAGTTTGAACACATTTTAAAAGCACAGGTTGAGAAATTTTATGGCCCCTTTTAATATTTGGAATTTCCTAGGACAGTAAGCATCTTAAATAATTGTTCTGGTCTTTTATAATCTGTTTTAACTTTAGGCCATTCATAGAAAGTTCTATTTCTAAAAGTACTTTTAACATTTTTTAAAATAATTTCAATGGATTAGCAATTTATAACATTTTGTCATTTTTATTTTGATGTGGGTTACCTATATGTGTATGTAATTTTTTGAATGAGATTTACTTAAGAAAAAGGACATTGGAATGTTTTTTTTTTCTATCTTGAATATATAAAAGCATTGATGTGAACATATTTGTGTGACTAGAGCAATTCTCACTGCTTTTCAGTGATGTGGAGCAGACTGCACCAATGGAAGAGACCACAGCGGTGGAAGAGTCCCCAGGCGCCCTGGAGGAGGAATCTCCAGCCAAGTGGGTGTTTTACTCATTTTTCCCATGAGTTGTTGTTGGCCTTGTTCTTAACGATTTCTAAGAGCGCTTCACCGAACAAGGAGCTCAGCCTTTTGTTATATCACAGAAGGTTGACCTTAATGTATCGATGAATAATCAAACTAATTAATAATTCAAATAATCTAACGAATGATTATTAATGATAATTAATGAGTTAAATTTAAGTATCCCATTCAGTGCCCACAACCTCTTTTCCATCGGCATCCTGTACTGCAATTATTCTCCCTCTTATCAGGACCCTCGTCTCTCGTTCCTTTATTCTCTCTGTGTCCATCCTCCCTCTTTTCTTCATGGAGCTTAGGTCCCTGGTCCACCTCTAGCGTCCTTGCCCAGTCCTTAACCTCCTTTGCCTCTGGATCTTCTGTTGTGCCTTGCTAGCAAAACCTGCCTCCTGGATGACCACTGGCTGGCTGCCCTCTCTGCCTGTACTGGCCAGCTGAGCACTGACAACAGCAGAGCCGACAGGAACCCCTGTAAATTGTTGATCACCTGCATTCTGAAATGAGCCCTTAACACTGCCCATCAGTCCCCTTTTCTGGGGCTCATTCTTTCTCCCACCCTCTACAATGACCAATTCCATCCTTCTTGTATCCTCTAAGCCCTGACACTGTCCCCAGTTTACTCTTCCCCCACCCTTCCCATACCTGCACCTCCTCTTTTACTTTCTCGACATAACTTTGCCTCCTATGTCACACAGAAATTGAGAGCCACCAGCTGGGAAGTTTATCATCTTCCCGCTCTTAAAGGTACAAACCCACCTGTGCCTGCATACCTCCTAGCCTCCTTCCCTCATGGTAAGAAAGAGGCACCATCTCTCCGGCCACTTCTTCAGGCTTTGAATCCTGTCTCCTGCTGACTGCGTGGAAATCTCACACCGTCAGTCAGCTCCTTCCTCATGAGTCTGCTTACCTTCCTCCCAACTCTGGTCTTCATCAACAGTTTAAACGTGCTCGGTGTCTCCTATTTTAAGTCTTCTACTCTTGCCCCACATTCTCATTTAGCTGCCTTTTTTCAGGGTTGTGTGTACTCTTCCTTCACTTCCTCCCTCTCACTTATGCCTCACTTCACTCCAGATCTGGCTCTGTCCCCATTGCCCTTTGGAAACAGTCACCACATGTCTCCACACCTAATAGATGTTTCTGTCTGCATCTTTGTTGACCTGTCAAAGCATTTGACTTTATTGATTTCTTCTTAAGCTCTCTTTCCCTGATTTCTGTGATGTCTGCACTCTTCTGGTTTTCCCACTGCCTCTCAGCTTCTCCTCTACAGACTCATCCTTATTTTTCTGGTCTTTTAAAATGTCAAGTTCTTTATGGCTCTGCCTTAGGCCCTCTTCTCTTTAGTGTCTTTTATAGGATCTCCCGTACCCTTGCAGCTCGGGTCATCATTCATGTATCAACTCCAGAATGTATACCTCTGGCTCTCACCTTCCACCTGGGCTCCAGGTGTGTGTTTCTAGCTGCTTGCTCTGATCTCCTGCTCCGTGTGTCCAGGAGAAGTCTGTCTTCATTAGGTATCTCCATCTTGTGGAGCAGCCCATCACCATCCATCCAGCTGCACAAACCAGAAACCTAAGAGTCATCCTTGAGACTTTCTTCCTCTTGACCCCCTCCCTTCCCCAAATCCAGTCTGTCACCCTGCCCCGGTGATTGTACCTTCTCTTCTCTCTGCTCATCACCATCATCTCATCCAACCTGTCACCACAACTCCTTATGGGCTCCCTGCTTTCTCATCTGGGACCAGCCCATTTCTGCACCACAGTGGCTTTCACACTGACATTCTGATTGTCATGCACCCACCCCTCATGCGAGACCCCCAGTGGCTTGCTGTTCTCTTCCTATCCCTTGACCTGACCTGCAGGGTCCTGCGTGGTCTATACCCTGCAGAGCTCTCAAATGCAGCCACTTGTGTACCTTCTCTGGGTTCATCACGTTGCCCTTATGTCATGTTCTCAATGACCTTTCCCCTACCCCCGTCCTATACATGCCAAAGCGCTTCAGCAAGTGCTGTTGCCTTTCCCTCCACCCCATACCTCTCCAAATTCCCTTCCCCCTTCACTGATTTAACTCTTCTCATCCTTCAGCTGCCAAGAAGCAAGGTGTCTAGTGGTTAAGAGCACAGACCCCAAGCCAGAGTGTGGATTCAAATCTCAGCTCTGTCACTCATTAGTTTGGGCAAGTTGTTTATTCTGTCTGTTCCAGTTTTCTTCACATGTAAAATAGGAATAATAATAGTACCTATATCATAAGGTTGTTATAAGGAGTGTGTGTGTGTGTGTGTGTGTCTGTCAGTCACAGAGTGGGGCCTAGCATGTAGTTAATGCTATATAAATATCTGCTATTATTATTGCAAAAGTAAAATGCTGCAATGATTGATAATTATGAAAGCTGTTAATTTACTGTTCAAAACAACCAAGAAGTATATTTAAGTAAAGAGAGAAATTAACAATATGAATATTTAGACAGTGATTTAACTAAGGAAGTAGATTAACAGTTTACATAAATGTTGAAAAAGTGAGTTAACTAGATCCCTTCAGGAAAAATGGTACCTTTTTTGAGCCAATAAACCATTTATACAAATTCAGGTTATGTAAGGCAGAATAATAAATTATAGCATAACTCTTTGGAATTGATTGAGATACCTTTGCTTTCCTAATATTAAATAGACAAAATAGTTCTCTCGGTCAGTTACTCTGAAAGACAGAATTCTAAATGGTTTGATGGCGGTCTCGTGTCTGCACGAGAGCCCAGCCCGCTTTCTCCTCTCCACTGCCTGCAGTGGGCAGTGAGCATCTAGTTAGGTCTGCAGGAGCTGCGCGGCCGAGCAGCCACACTAGCAGACCAGTGGCCGACCGCGCTGCGACATTCTTATCTCCGCACTGCCCCGTCACACTTTAAAGTTATTACTAAAATTCCTAGTAATGCAGTTACAGGTTTGTGATAATTTCAAAATTAGGTTTGTATTTGAGAAGTACATTCGATGATAGTGATGCTGTCTGATCTCAGCTTTTTCTCACGTTGATCTAACACTCAGACTTTGGACCCCGAGCCAAAATGTATATTCAATGCACTGCTCAGTTTAGAACTTCCTGATAGATCAATTTAATATACCCTCACTTACATTCAAACATACACCCCGAAGAAGATATATTTTCCTCAGATTGGACACGTTTTGTTGACAATTATATGTGCTGTGCCCTTCCTTCCTTCCCTCCTTCCCCCTTTCATCATAGAAGTATTGCATGTTCCTTAATCACATGGTGTCCTCATGTCTGAAGATGCTTGTGACAACTTCTCCGGAGTATTTTGTTACAAGACTATAAGAATAAATCTAACATTTATAGAGCATTTGTTGTGTGCCAGGAACTCGAAATGCTTCCATGTCTTAACTCCTCAATCCTTTGCTGCCCTTTAGTGAAGGAGGAGATACTGTTACTATCCTCATATGGAGATACGGAGGTTAAAGGGCTTGCTAAGAAGTGGCAACCAGATGTTGTGGGACCGACATTCATGCTCTTTCCTGTAGTGAATGGTAGGAACGGTTGAAAGTGCCACGAACGCTTTGAAGTTTGCTCCAAAGAACTGAACAGGGGAGAAGCTGCTGGTTCTGTGAGCAGAGGAGGGGCTGCTGGGGTTGCTGAGGACTTTCCTATTCAGTAACATGGAATGACATTCCCTTTCTTCCTTAAAAATAAAAAAGCCATTATGAAAAGAGTGTTAAAGAAGCATCATTACAAAAATACCTGCAATGAAATATTTCTCATTGTAATTCATTTCCAAGTATTTTTGCTTAATGAAGATTGTCCTGTGTTGAATTTTCTTAAAGCTGGAAAACACCTCTTTAAAATTTATATGGCAAATTTCTTTTTTTTTTTTTAATTTTTTTTTTTTAATTTTTTTTTCAACATTTATTTATTTTTGGGACAGAGAGAGACAGAGCATGAATGGGGGAGGGGCAGAGAGAGAGGGAGACACAGAATCGGAAACAGGCTCCAGGCTCTGAGCCATCAGCCCAGAGCCTGACGCGGGGCTCGAACTCACGGACCGCGAGATCGTGACCTGGCTGAAGTCGGACGCTTAACCGACTGAGCCACCCAGTCGCCCCTATATGGCAAATTTCTGAGGAGCTCAAAGTTTAGCATGAAATTCACTTCAATTTCAGTACTTGGGAAGGAAGGAAGAGGTGTTACTTACATGTCAGGTTAAATCCACTTGCCCTGGTTAAGTATTTAGTTCATAAAATGTTATTTCTAGAACCCACTTTTTTTGGTTCCCTGCACCCTTTCATATATTGAGGTGAAAGATATTGCCTGAATGGATATTTGGACGTTTGGTGTTACGTATGTTTTCTGTGCCCACATCTTGACTCTCTTCCGTCTCCATGCATTTCTCTGTCCTCTTATTCCCTCAAGGTGGTGGAGTCTGGGCTTTGGAGATGGAATGTATAGGTATGAAACATGGCTCTTTTGTTTGTGAGCTATATGACTCTGCCTCAGTTTCCTTACCTATAAAATGGAGCTATTAATTGGAGCTAACTTGTGGGATTAATTTTCACGACCAAATTAACGTAAAGTCCTTTGAACAGCGTTTGGCACCTAGGACTCATTCAGTAAATGTTACCATTATTGCCCCATTTATGTTTTAAATAAAGTAACAGTTGTTAAAACAGTTCTATTTCTCCTATAATTTCACCCATATAGAAAAATGTATAACTATCAAATTTGCATATAGCATTATTCACATTACAAGTCATAGATTAGACCATCTTATATCTATAAGCAGCTTTGATGGAAAATCATCTCCCAAGATTTTTGGTAATAGACCAAGAACTGTGAAGGACTTTGAATTAGTCAAAATGGAGGGGGGGGGTGGGGAATGCTGTTAAATTTGGAGGATGTAAATAGCAATTACAATGCTTTTATAACTGTTAGAAATATAACTGCTTTCGTCCCTCCTGGAACT